TCTGTGGAGTCTGGTGTAGAAATGTTTAGTTCTATCCAATGCTTGACTCTGGTCGAAACGAATGACATGGTTTGTTTGTGTCAACACGTGTTCGGCGATTGCTGTTCTATCCATTTGTCCCTGCTGAGAGTTTCTTTTATGCTCTTTGACCCTGGTGTTGATAGGGCGCTTCCCACATAACAGTGAAAGAACATTCATATTCTCAGAATATTCCATCAAAGTGCTTTTTGGAATGTTCTTTTAGGAATGTTCAATGAATATTCTAAGATTGTGTCGATTGAAATATTCATTTTTGAACGTTCTATTTATGTACTAGGAATGTTGCTTCTATGCACCTACCTGAAAGATTGTGCTAAGAACCTACTTTATATAACATTATTTGAATATTCTCATACGAACATTATTATAATGTACCCTAAAAAATGTTCCATTAGCTAATATCTCTATCAAGTATTAGGAATATACCTACCAAGTTGTGCTGAGAAGTTTATGTAGGTAGGTACCCATGATAAAAATATTTCCATATTTTTCACCTAATTATCTAAAAAACCTACTCAAAAACTTAATTGAACAATTAAACAATAATGCTCTATTTAGAACCTACTAAGAATATTATAGGTATATTCTTTTTCTTTTGCTTTGTAGGACTTCCAAGAGAGGGAGCGACGCGCTATTAAAGATCTACATCTTGCCTCGCGTTTGAATCACCTTGGAACCTATTTCTCTCATTTGGCGTGCTTCGACGAGAGCATAACAAGCTCGAAACCGGAGCTTTGGTTAAACACTTGTGTTTTCCAGAGAAATTTTCCAACAATTCTTTCACTGTCTTTAATATACAAGGACTGGAAGTAGCATTATTTGGAAAAGAAAATTAACATTCCAAGTATATCCTTAGAATCAAACAAGAATGTTATGTCTAGGATGCATATTGAGAATGATATATGTAGATATATTCTAAGAATATTTCAAGCATATTGGTATAATATTATTTTGAGAACATAACTATAATGTCATAGAAACATTCATTGAATATGAGAATATACATTTCGAGCATATTTTTAGAATCAAACAGGAATATTCTTTTCAGGATGTACTGAGAATCTCATAGGTATATTCTAGGAATATCCTAATGGATTTCCCAGGAAGTTCTTGGGTATTGCAAACAGTATTTCTACAATCCTTTCCCAGAACATTCTCAGGACATTCGCAATGGTTTTGGCGAACATTCTAGGCACATTCCTCCTAAAAAAAGAACATTCTTAATACATTCTAAGGATGCAATTTCGTTATGTGGGTTGGTTGTTCCTTCATAGACAGATCCACAAGAGCAGTGAATTCTATAGATGCCAGCAATTTCAAGAGGTCCCCTAGGATCCTTGGCCGATCTTAGACTTTACTGAATTATTCTTGTGGGCCTGTAGATGGGCCTAATATAGTGTCTTTCTAGCGTTCGTCCTATGCGATCTGTGACATTTTTGATGTAGGGAAGAAAGGCTCTCCTTGCCACCTTGTCTTGTTATTTGTGCGCTGTTGCTTCGGTCTTATACCTCTATTTATCTCCTGCTTGGAGTACCCATTTCCTTCAGGTGCTGATTTTAGGTGTTGCATCTCGTCCCGAAGGTATCTGGGTTCACAAATCCGGATTGCCATGTCAGATAGAGTTTCAATGACTCCTCTCTTTTGCCTAGGATGGTGATTGGATTCCTTGTTGAGGTATCTGTCCGTATGCGTCGGCTTCCTATATACTGTGTTGTAACAAACCGGCCAAAAAGTCCTTTTTCGTTCTTTTTGCAATTAATTGGTTTCTTTTACCAGTTAGATTAAATTGCCAAATTTCTCACGAAACGGTACCAAGAGCCAAAGGTTATCAGTCGCTGCGATGATTATGTCTTACAACCACGACTCTTGACCCCTGAGTTCTTGGAAAACGTTGCCTGACTTGTAACTGATAAACTAAAAGCGTCATCCAAATTCGCTATATAAAAGACGCCTCACGTAGCTCTGGATTCATTCAGTTCTGGTAACAGATTCTGGTACTTACAGTGTAAAGTCGTCCGATATAGTTATAAAGCAGGTGAGGTTTCAGTTTCCACATATTTCCCATTGTCAATTTATTATCCTATTTACCGTATGTTTCTTCTACTTATTGTCAAATCGTAAGACTATTTTTCTATCTTGCTTCCACGTATTGTCAACTACCTACCAACTTATTTGTTCCTTTCAGTCATTTTGACTGCATTTTTGCTACTTTTCCTAGCCTTATTGTATAAACCGTTCAATTGAATCGTTTCACTGTTAGATCCCGGATATCTAACAAGGCCGATTTGTACTGCCCTGTCGAGGATGTTCTCTAGCATTAATTGAAGATTATAACTAGCATAATTAATCGCTTTTCATAGAACATAGCTTACCTGTATACTTATTTTCTCCACTTTTATTCTACATTCAAATTCAGTATTGTCATCTACCTTACTCTTATATTATTATAAGCCTATTCTTTTATTGTACTTATTCCTTTATTTCAAGCGTTTTACTGATTTTCCTTTGTCTTTAGTTGTTACCTATATTATCTATAATAAATTCCATATGAATCTTTATCGTATGAAAATGCTTCTTTGATTTATTCTGACAACCGATTCCTCTCAAAAGAGTTAGAATCCAACTACGTACAGCTCGGGTAGCAAGAACCCGGACTAATAAGGGCAACCGAATCAGTTACATAAAATTAACCTGTTGCAATTAACCGAGAATTTCAGTGGGACGTTAATCATAGTCCCTGGTGGCACGCTACTGCAGTACGAGAAAAGGCCTTTATTAGTCCTAAAACATATCCAGTTGGCGGCGGTAACACTGTGTCTCAGTTTACCTGAGGGTAATCTTTCTAATAGGACGTCGAGGAATGCAATTTTGTTGTCCTTCTCAACTTCCATCGTAAACTGTATCATGGGTTCTATTGAGTTTAGATGATTAAGGAAGTTTTCGAGCTCTGCCTATCCATGGTTCCAAACAACAAATGTGGCATCTATATAGTGGAACCAGCAAGTAGGTTTCTTTGTGGTCGTTCGCAGTGCCATTTGTTCGAAGTGTTTCATGTAGAAGTTGGCGATAACCGGGCTGAGTGCATCATTGCGACTCCATTTGTCTGCTCAAATAATTCATTTTGCCATTGAAAGTACGTAGATTTACTGGTACTTTAGTGAACAATGAGACGATATCAAAACTAACCAGAATGTCGTTTGGAAGTAGAGTGATCTCACTGATCTTTTTGAGCAAATGTGTTGAGTCTTTGACGTAAGAGCTGGATTGGCCAATCCGTGACTGAAGGAGGGTCGAGAGGTATTTGGCTATGCTGTATGTGGGCGAATCTATTGCACTAACAATGGATCTGAGTGGGTTGCCTATTTTGTGAATCTTAGGAAGCCCATATTATATTCTAGGTTGTAAGGCCTCAGATTTGATGAGTTTCCTTATGTTTTCCGGGTCCAACGGTAGTGCTCGGACGAGTTGATTGGTCTTTCGCAGTAGGATTGCGCTTCAGCTTTCTGTAGTCGGAGGGGTCTAGCAGTTCCGAAATTTTTGATTCATAGTCCAGTCACGTTCATGATTACCGTTACGTTTCCTTTATCCGCAGGCAGGACTAGTATTTTCTGGTTTGTATTCAGGCTGCGAATAGCTTTCCTTTCCTCGTATGTCAGGTTGCACTTTGGAGGTTCCGCTAGTCGTAGAATCCTAGAAGTTCTATTGCGTATTTCCTCCGCAGTGGTTTGAGGTAATGTGCGTATGCTGGCTTCCACATTTTCTATGATGTCTTCGAATGGCAGGTGTTTCGGTGTGATTCCAAAATTGCCTCCTTTTCTTCAGAACACTGGTTTCCGAATCGGTCAGAACGCGTTGGGTCGGGTTGACAACTGTGCGATCATTGCCTGTGGATTTCCCAGTGTTTAATGGTTTCAAGGACTCTCAAACTTATTTACCAGTTTCTTGGTTGTTTTTGCTAGTGTGGCTTCTATCACGTCATTCGTCATTCGGTCAATTTTGGCCCAGTCACTCCAATGCATGCTGTTGGATAACCTTTGGTTTATCGATACAAGATCCTTGTCCACAGCTGCTTGGTCTTTTCTTGTTTGCAGGGTGAATCCGTTCCCGAAGAAAGGCTGGTTCGAAAATTCTGTTATTGCGGAACGACTTTCGAGTCTCTGCATCTTTGGAGAAAAGCAAGGGAGCCTAGAAGAATGGGCCTTTTTCTTACGTAAGTTTTCCAACCGTCGAATAAGTCGTGGTGTTTCCTCCACGTAGAGGCGTTATAGCCCGGAAAAAAACTTTTTTCTAGATTTGACCGGCCGTGAAAGCCTTCATTCTTTATTTACTTATTTTGTTTTTCATGATTTAATGATTTGAAATTTGAAATTTCTTTTAAAAATTGTAGTAGGTGATCACGCATTGAGTAACAGTTTATGATTAATGTTTTCCCAGGTTGGTGACGCTATGTTAAAACACTACCCTTCTACAGACGGCGACTTTTTCGTTAATAGCTAGGTATATCTTTGTAGTTGATGTTTGGCTTGGAGATCAATATTTCATCGAATCTCATAATCAAACTCCTGCTTAGAGTCTCCATACTTTCGATTACAATAGCAAATTAATATCCTAAAATGATTCAGAAAAACAGTTAAAACTTTAAAGCTAAATTCCAGTTCATTAAACGAAGTTTCACGCAATTACGACTCTGGAGAAATTAATACATAATTAATTAAATGAAAGGTTTACATAAAAGCACGGAAAATTATTATAAGACACTCAGAAATATTTCTCTAAAAAGTTAAATAAGCTAGTACCGTTCTCTATATTAGAAACTAAGTAGCAAAAAAAGCTGGTCTATAACTTGAAAGTTAGTCTATATTGTGTGTTCATATTCACATAAATTCATCCGTTGGCGCAGACGCTGTAGGATCGCGCGTCTTTGTAGGAAAATCCAACCCTCAGCTTTGCAGTTTGGCACGAAAAATTGTTCGGATAGGTCCTACCGAGTTCTACATAAGAGATTTACGGATAATCGCAACGGTATCGGTAATTTTTCTTGCTACCTAGATATTTCTTGGTGAAAGTTTGTTTTTGATGTACTTTCTCGGATTACTATGGATGTGCTGTGTGAAAGTTATTTTTGAATAGAAAAAAATTCAGAAAAAATTTGTTACTACTATACTATGTGAGCAGGTAAATTTTTCAAACTGTGATCAGTAAGTTTGAAATATGTTTTACTTAGAAGATGTATTTATCGAGATATTCAATGGTACCATAGGTACTAATTAATCACAGAAAATGCGCTTAGCTATTTTTATCACATCGTGTTTGAAAAAAATAATTCTGGCATAGTTTTTCTTGGATACAATCCAAATAAGTGAAGACCAGCATTGTCTTTCAGCATTTACTTAATCTGTCTAATGAATGTGTGGATATCTATACATTCTCGAAATTTCATCTGTTCTTTTTGTATGATGTTTGACTTGGTTGGTGGTTGTTAGTTTATCATTCATTAGCTCATCTCCATAATAATTGATGATCGATGATGTCATTTGTTTGAGGTTGGATATTTCAAAATTATCTTATTTTTTATGAAGCATTTATCTTTGCAATGTTATCAATATGAAAGAATGGGGATGATAGGTTTGCTTTTTATGTACTTCCAACGGTAGAGTTTGTGTACCTACCTTTTTCATCCGTTATTATTGATGGAATCCAGTAACATCCGCTTGCTTATTATTATCGGTGTCAAGAATTCCGTAACGTCAGATAAGTCGGGAGTTTGTTCTGGCAACCGAAAGATTCAAATACGCAGCAGAGTCGAAATAGGAGAAAATTACGTTTTACCCAAACGTAATATAAAATGCGTCTGATATTAAAACAGAGAGCTTTTTTCAATGTTATGACTATATTATCATTTTGATTTTAATTGCCTAGTATTTTTGTCAATCTGCATACAAAAAATTTCAAAATAGAATTTCAAGTATTTATTTTTCAATTTTTGCTGGTGTCGTTCACAGACACTGGCCCAATATAGAGATTTTAATGGCTCATTTACATACTAACCGCTTTTGGGTCTATAAATTCCAATTAGAGTTCAGTTTTTCTGGTATTGGAGTCTATTTACACGTATTTCAAAAATGTAAATCGTTTGAAATAGTCTGTTTATTACCATAGTTACGCAATAAAAAGTAATTTCGTTTCAGATCCAATTACTACTAAATTTGAGTTTGTGAGGATTCAATAATAGAAGTCATTAAATAGAACTCATTCTCAAAGTAGGTATGTAAGACTTCGTTTGTACTTAGATAATTCTGCTAAATTATGTATTAGACAAATTTGAATGTAAGATTTTTCTAGGGATCTACTATGTTTCTATCTTATTTTGAATTTAAAATGTAAGAATTTATATTAGGGGTTGTGAAAATTGTTGTAGGTCATGCAAATACAATGCGTAATAACAAAAATAAAATGCCATTGCAGGTCATACAAACCGTTTTTTATTTTTAAATCGGTATTTTGTAAAAATAAATCATTCGACCGTTTGTTTAATTGATTGTATCTTTTTTAAATATAAATGGAATTGAACTTCCATGAGATTTTTTCCAGTCTATAAAATTTAGCGAAATAATTACCAGTTTTATTTCCGGATCCTACCACGGTTTAAATTGCTTACCTATCTCAAATGTTAACACTTTAAAAGGTCAATTAAGTTTTCCATTTTCCTCCATAGATTTTTAATTTCGCTCCATTCCGCTTTAGAGACTATATCGATTTTAGGGTGGAGGGGGGGCTAAGTTAATGGTACCCTCCACCCCACCACTTTTTTTGCCTTTCTGACTGGGGATTCTTATTCTTATAATTTTGCTCCGTTATCAAAAAATTTTGCTCCACAACCGTTCTGTAGTTACAGAGGTTTGAAAAATATTAATCAGCCCCCCCACCTCTTTTTTACCTTATCTTACTGTGAATTGTTACACTACTAATTTTGCTCCGTTATTGAGAAATTTTGCTCCACAACCGTTCCGTAGCTACAGAGGTTTGAAATAGTATATTACATACCGAGTAGGGAAGTGTTTCATTACTGTCACGAGATTTATATAGTCAATCTTGACGCGAAGCGAATGTCGAGATTGATTATTAATTTCGAGACAGAAATGAAAACTTTCCTCCGAAGTTTGTATACTATTTCATTTATGTCTCGAGTTTAATAGTCATAAATATCTCGACAGTAATGAATCACTTCCCTACTCGGTATGTAATATATTATTATATCCTACTGAACTATTATTATAACCATATAATACCTTGGTTACGATAATCATAAACAGAGTCTTAACTCCCGCGCGGGAGTTAAGGATTTCCTAACTCTCTCGCAGAAGTTGAGAATATCATAACTCCCGCGCGGGAGTTAAAGATTTCCATAACTCCCGCTTTTACCTTGAAAAGGTAAAAGTTTGAAAAAAAATATAGAAATTTTGGTTTAGGACTTTCCTTCATAAAAATGGACCAAATACAGTAAATTCAGTAGGAATTAAAATTATCCAGTACCACGGGAATTATCAGGTGTTAATACCCACGGGCAATTAGTATCCCGAGGGCCTTGCCCTGTGGTATTAACACCCTCATAATTCCCTTTATACATAAATAACTATATCAGCCCCCCCCCGCCACTTTTTTCCCTATTTGACTGTGGATTCTTATTGTAGTATAACATACCCAGGTTGGTTCAGTAAGATTGAACGATGAGATTATTACCTTCTAAACAACAAATATTCTGAAAAATAAAATGAAAAACAAATAAGACCTACTTTGTGAAGACTTATTCAATTTTACTTACTTGACATGCGCCCGACGGCAAATATTTGGGAAATTTAAGGGAAGCTGTGATATGTAGAAGAAACGAAAAATTTGTGAAACGTCTACTTTATTATTAAAGTAAATCGTACCGTTCTCATCCTGGAACTAACGAGGGGAAAGAGCACGGCAGAGAAACCCTCGATATAACATTCCTCAAAAATCGAAACGTACTGTGTCATTTTAATAATAATTGTGAGTCAATAATTCAATAATTTTAGTCAATAAAAGTTTAAATTAGGTACCATCCTTTGTCTTTGTGCTAAAATTTCAATTACACACTACATTCAATCAACACTACCTATATTCAATACTGAAGAGTTTTTTAGTTAGTAAGCCCATCTGTGGCAGGTACTGAGGTCCCTGGTTACGTAAACTCACAGCTATAGTTGTTTTTGAGGCAATATCTCTAGATTGATTATTTCCATTTGTTAGGATATTCTCTCGTCAGGGTAGGAAAATGTTAGTAAATTCAACAAGGCTCTAATGCACGCTCTAAATCCAAAAATCAAAATCTCAGCACAAAAAGACAGTACATAATTTTTCTAGGTTTTAATTTACTCTTTATCTGTGTTGTTTACAGCATGAAACGATTTTTGTTAAATACATGAACAATGCACATGTAATAAAAAATGTTATAAACAAGCAAAAAAAACATAAAAATGATACTTGTATAAATAATTGAACTCTCAAAAGCAAAATAACAATTATTCAACTGACCTTATCGCTCCTTAACACACACACTAATAACAAATTGGATTGAACAATCAATTTAATGCAAAATAAAAATGAAAAGTGAATAATGAATAATTACAGACATGCGTCTAAACGAACAGCCCAGCTTGTTCTCCAGTCTAGTTGCGTATTCTCTTGTATCCTCTTCGGTTTCGGTACCTTGGTTTTCTGTGGCGCGCTCGTTCAATCCTAAACTTGAAGGCGCATACATGATTGCAACATTTACATTTCAGTAAACTTTTTTCAAAAAAAAAGTTAAGATTCAAAGAAATGATATTTTAAATAGGTGGTAGAAAAAATTCACGGTCAGATAGGGAAAAAAGTGAATTCTACGCCACTTTTTTCCCCATCTGATCGTGAATTTTTTCTCTAATTTGAGTCCATTATTAAGACATTTCACTCCACAAGATAAAGAAATTCAGTGAAGAATATATTTATTCATAAAAAAATCCGTTACCTGACTCTACTTGTGTGCCCGTAGGTAGTCACTGGTCCTAACTAACCTTATTTTGGATAGAGTGGTGAAGTGTATTTCTATGTCATGTTTTCCAGCGCTAAAAATTATTAGTATCAATATCAACAAAGTAAACACAATGATCGTTTAAAAAAACGCTGTGTCTAGCCTCCCGGCACCGGTATTCATACGAATCCCGGTTATGACGCGTTTTCGATGACTCCATCAACGACCGCCGGGATTTATCGTGGGTCCCGGCTATTGGATTCAAAATTCAAAGTCGTGTTTCTCTTGCTGGTTGAAGCTGTGATTAATCCGGAAAAGCTTTTATGTATTATTGTTTTTTGTTGTGATATTAGTATTAGGGTGGGTATTATAAAGCTACTCTGAGAGTTAACTTAAAGTTAACTTCAAGTTAACTGTCAAAGCAGTTTTATAATACCCGCCCTTAGAGTGGTAAGTACTTCGTTAATCCACTTTTCGTAGTAGTGGTTCAAAAAGGGAATAGTATGGTTTATTTTTATTCATTATTCAGGACTATAGCTTTTTTAACAGCCTGTATCTCTGAAATAGGGTACTCTTGGACCCAACTTCATAGGAATTTTTGCTCTTAATTTGAGATGTAGAATCCGCAGTTAAAATATTAACCTCTAATTTTGGGGCACCCTGTGTAATGTTGCTGAACATTAACGGCGTTGCTGTACAAGATCAAACGCTGAACCAACTTTCAAAATGACCCTGTACCTACATATAATAAAAAGTCATAATTTTATTTTCCATTAATAAAAGCTTATCGCACCTGACTTTGTTTACTTTTTTTACTCTTCATAATAAATCTGCCTCAATACCAATGAACATAATAATTCTGCCGGGATCCACGACAGTTACCGGTGGTTGTTGATGATGTCATTTAAAACGCGCCATAACCGGGATTCGTATGAATACCGGTGCCGGGAGGCTAGACACAGCGTTAAAAAAATCTATGACCCTACGTCAGAAAAAGGGTAATAAACAACAATACATCATAAAAAAAATGACGCGAAAAACAACGTGGAGCAAAATTTTTCAATAACGAAGCAAGATGGAGCAAAATAATTAGTAGTGTAGTATAAGAATTCAGTCAGATAGAGGAAAAAAGTCGTGTGGT